ATTTTCGTTGTACCACTTTCCTTAATTACAGGCCGATGAGGTAAATAATGTCCTTGATTTAAGTCATCGGATTCCAGGGATTCAATTTTTTCAATAACCTTCTCATTCATCCATTCCAAGCTAACCCAAACACTTAATTGTATTTTACAAATTGATCATTGTCTTTTAAGCGATGTACGGTAGTATTTAATCGTTTCATAGCCATATTGTAGTAACTTGGAAGTGCAGGGTGGTCTTTCAACTAAGGAAGTCGAACTTCATAACGCCCTTCTTGATCCGTAATTATGGTTTGCCGAAAAAAATCTTTGGCTGCCATTTCAGTTTCTTCCCTGTTCTGTTTCTCGATAGGATCTTGGATACCCAGAACGTCTAGTTCCCATAAATTACAGATTTGGGCATCCTTGACAAGCAGATTCAATGTAGTTACCACTGTATCAGAGCGTGATCGACAATCTGGTACCTTTCCCATTAATGTCCATCCAAAATAAGTTTCGAAAGCGATTAATCCACAGGGCAACGCCTGTCGAATTCCTGTGTAAAAAACACCTACCACGTCTGCTCCCAATAATAATTCAATTGGGCCATATTGGGAAGAATCGGATATTTCTATCCCATAATCTTTAATCTCTTTGAGCCATGGCCCAGACAACATAGGAATTATATCGGCACATATGGTGGGCTGATCCAAAACTTCAAATTTGTATGAAAATCCTTCTTTATAGATTGTAATGTCATAACATTCATGGCAATTAATAGCTTTTGCACCACCAAATAAGCAGTGCCTCACCGTTTCTTGACGTTTTGGTGTATCTCCGAGGTGTATAGCAACCTCCCTTTCAATGTAGGACCTTTGTGACCCGGAATCAATGAGAGCTCGCACCCTTTTCTCATAATTACCGCCCTTCAAAATAACACATAGAGTCTGCAGGAAAATGTAAGAAGACGTTTGGTTTGACAACGAATGCTCTCTGACAAGGTCCGAATCTTTTGGTGAATTAATATTTGGATCTGAAGGTGTTCTATTTATGCTTGCGTGTGAAGGTAATTCAGGGCACATCAATACCGCATGAGAACGACCACAGACAACACACTTTAAATGGCTTTTACATCTTTTCCATTGGTGGCCGATTTTCAGGCAGCGAAAGCAAGCCCCTCTTTTTGGAACCAGTTGCCTTTTTTGCAAAATTGTCATTTTTTGAGCTTTAAAACATGATGATGCATTATGGTTGCCCTGGCAAAACAGACAACTCTCTCGGTCCAAATTTACGAGACCAATTGCAGTAGGATATTCTGGATTTTTCTTCAGCTTCATCTTAGAATTTCTCTCACCCTTTCGTTCGAAGGAAGTTTTTTCTGCCAATCCAAAACCCTCCGCTGCTAGAACCAATCGCTGTTCATTATCTACCTCTTGTTTGAGGAAAGCCATCAATTGCCTTAAC